CTAGTACATCAGCCACTAAGAACACAAGTATTGCATGTGACTGTGTTGATACTGCAAGATATTCAGTGTCCTTGTTATCCCTAATAAACTGAACTGCATGTAGACCTACTTCACTAGAATACACTTCAATCGTTTTACTATCTGGTGATGCCAAGATCCACACTTTACCATACCTACTAGCTGATACACACATTAATTCCTTCTTTTTACTGACATCCAGTGATTCCAATGGTAAACTAAAAGAAACTGTACGACTTACATCTCCAGTATCTACTGATGTTATCTTTACAGTGCAATCTTCAGAGGCGCTGGCTAATAAGTTTTGTGATGACAAAAATTTACAAGACCACACTGTTCCACTGTGCAATGTTAGTACTTTTAATACAGAGACTTGATCCACTGAATAAACTATCAACTGCTTGTCAGAGGAACAGGAAGCTAGCAGGGATCCGTCAGAAGAGAAACAAAGACCCCAAACATTGCTTGTGTGCTCTGTAAAACAAGCCAGCAGTACTGCTTCCTCATCCCCACTGCAGTCATATAAACGGACTGAATAATCACCAAAGCAAGCTCCCAAGAGCGTTCCCCATCTCTTGCTTGAAGAAAAGGCAAGGAATTCTACTCTATGCCTTGAGGAAACAATCCTTCTGAACTTCAAGTCTTCCATGTCTCCAGCCCCACCCTCGAGTGGGCGTTAAAAATTACTGGTAGGCGTGGCTGATAAAAGGGCGTGGTCTGTTGTCAATGGTAACGACAAAATAAAGATGGAGGTCGAGCCAGAATATCTCAGCACGTGAGGCCTTGATTTACTGTCATTTAGGACTTTATTGTATTGATTATAGGGAAATTATTGAAGGGAATATTGATGTACATCCTAGCAAGAACGCCATATTGATACACTACAGTGTTGATGCGCGAGTCCTCTCTGAGAGACTAGAAACAATGGGAGCTGACCTTAAGCAGTGCAGGAAAACGTAAGGACAATCTCTTTCATGTGCATATTAGTTTGAATTCTAATTATGGTATTGTGAATTGAATGTTTTGTCATTACGGTATTAATCTAAATGCTTTTAATTAATTAATAATATTTAATTATAATTAATTTTTGTCATTGAAATTAAAGATTTAAACTCCACTAAATGTACTGAGCACTAAAATCACAATATTTATTAATTAATATTATCTTTAAGAATCACTTTAATGTATTTAGTTGATCACTAGTAATATTTGTGTTAATAAAATCAATGTTTAATACATGTACAGTACTAGTGCAGTAGTGCTACATGTATTTTTGTTATTATTATTATTTATTTTTAGTATTAATATTAAAGGATTGAGTAAATCCACTGATATCCAGTCATTGGCTGGTTTCCTGGTATCACAGACTCCACTCATTTCATCAAAGAGACTGCCAGAGATAGAGCAACTCCTTATGTACATGTTAAACAGGAAACTGAACAAGCCTGGATTTCAAGGTATTATTATTATTATTAATATTATTATTATTATTACTAGGGGCAAGCATGAGCCATGAATGATTGGATATTGTATTTTTTAAAATGCTCATAACTTGAAAAATTTAAGTCAGAATTAGCTCAAACTTTCTACATAGCATAAGGACATCAATATGTATCAGAAAATGTAATAAAAAGTGGGGGTGATTTTTTAGCCACTTTTTGTAAAAAAAAGCATGGGCTATAGTACAGGGTATTTTTCAGATTTTGGCAAATTTCTTAAAATGGCCGTAACTCAAAAAATTAAAGTCGAAATTAGCTCAAACTTTCTACATAGCATAAGGACATCAATATGTATCAGAAAATGTAATAAAAATTGGGGGTGAATTTTTAGCCATTTTTCAGAAAAAACCATGGGCTATAGTACAGGGTATTTGGAAGACTCTGTTTTTATCAGCTAATGACATCAATATTCAATATACATGTACAACGTGTACATTCAGAGCTACATGTACATGTATGTCTCATGCTCACCTCCTCCTCAATGCTACAATGTTATTCTAATTGTTATTATTAGAAGAGAAAGATGTCTTGTCACAGTCTTCAAGAGGAATGTGTCAGGAATTGGACGCATGTCAGAGAGAAGTAATTAAGCAATAGCAATATTGTATATACATAATGCATTCACATGTACATATATGTACTGTATATGTGATATCGTGCTATTTTCTGTTATCACTACAGGTTCATTTGTATTAATTTTACTTTATTTAGATTACAGAAGTTGCTTCGTTGGTCGATTTATCCGATTACTTGGAATTATTGTATGAAGATATACCAGAGAAGGTTCAAGGGACTGGAATGATATTACAATTAGCTAGAAACCCTGACAACCTACTGGAGCTAGGATCTAATGGTAATTTATACAGGGTACATATACATGTACATGTTACCAAGAGTACATGATGGGTTACCCTATGCATGAAAATTACAATTATTAGTTGTACATGTACATATCAGCACTCAATAAAATTTAGGATCAAGATACAGGACTGTAATAGTCCTTTCCAAAAATTATTAGGCAAATGTCGACGAGACTGAAGACAGTGGTTTAACAACTATGAGAATTAGTGCATCAGTTTATATACTGGCTTAACTTGACAATATCATCGTGGGTTGTCCTCACAGTGGGGGCTTGTGTAAACTATGTATACATTGTACATGTACATACATGTGTATGTGTGTATCATGTAAGGTGTCACCATGTACATGCATACTTGTAGTTACATTCCATAGAATAAATCAGTAGCTATTGATAATTAGGTTTTGTTTGCTGCTGTACTATTATTCAGTCTTTAATTCTTTATCTTCTTTTAGAGTCATTGTTCTTGGCTTTGACTAGAGTACTAAGAGACGACTGGCGTAAAAGCATTGAGCTCTCTACTAACATAATTTACATTTTCTTTTGCTTTTCGACTTTCTCTGACTTTCACGGGGTCCTCATACACCACAAAGTACATCAAGAAATAAGTATAATTTATTTTAATTTTTAATTATTAATATTGCTATTTTTTTATTTTTAATAATACTAATATTGTTATTTTATTTTAATTTTTATTTATTAATTATTATTAAGGTTGGTTCGTTGTGTATGGCTGTTGTAGAACATGAGGTGAATAGACACGAGACACTAGTGGAAGATGCTGAGAATAAAAGGAAAGGAGGTACAGTATTAATTCTAAAATATCTGTTGAAACATACATGTACATGTACATGTAGCATTTCTTAAGCATCATTCATTGCTGCATAAAACACAGTAAGCTCTAAACACATGTTCGTTCATATTACCTTTAATTTATAATTTTATTTAGACTATGCGTATACTATAATTATTAAATAAAATGTTCTTTTTTAATTTATTTATTTTACTGTAGCTCGTACTACTAGCAGTGGGAAATTAGAATATGAAAAAGCAAAGAAGAGGCTACAAACAATTGAGAAAAGACAAGATATCCTTTTAAGAGGTAGCAAATGACCTTTTATGATTGTTATTATTATTATTTGTTTTAGTTTCTTTGTATTTATTGTACAATTTGGCCGAATTGCCAGTGATTGAGCAAAAAATGAAAAATAAAGGGATTGTATCTTATCTAACTAGGCTTTTATCACGTTCTAATGAAGAACTGATAATTCTAATTGTTTCTTTTCTTAAAAAGCTAAGCATCTATGGAGAAAATAAAGATGAAATGGTAAATATTTGATAAATATGTACTTATTCCTTGTCTTGTAGGCAAAAGAAAAGATTTTGAAACGTTTGCTGCAACTAATTCCAAGCAAGAATGAGGTAAGCAAAAGAAAAAAAAAACTGGCAGCGGTGGGATTCGAACCCACGCCATCGAAATGACTGGTGCCTTAAACCAGCGCCTTAGACCGCTCGGCCACGCTACCAACTTGAGAGTGTAGGCCTAAAGATTATTTTTTAAACCTACAGGTCCTAATGAACGTTGCCATTCACTTGCTACTGAATTTGTCATTTGATCCAAGTTTGAGAGAAGAAATGATTACTTTAGGCTATCTACCTAAACTAGTGGCTCAACTAAGTTAGTAAAAGCACTTTGATTTACATAAATACACTGGCAGACAAAATACATGCTTTTAATGCATACAGTTTGCCAAGTTTCCAGCCATAACAACTTATTTACTGTTATTTATACATTTTAGGTAATGAAACACATAGACTGGTGGTCATATTTGTACTGTACCTCATTAGCATGGACGATAAAGGAAGAGCTGCATTTGCATACACTGACTGCGTCCCTGCAGTAAGCAACAAAGCAATACATGTCAGACTTGGGTCAAATACAAATAGTATTTGTAATTAGTCGTATTTAAATACTTTTGAAAGTATTTGTATTTGTATTTGTAATTTGAGTTTTTGTAACAGGAAGTATTTGTATTTGCAATTGAAATACAGCAGGGAAGTATTTCAAAATACAGCAAAATACTTTAAAATACTTCAATGTGGATGAAGATGCTGTTTGAGTGACAAAACTTTGAAGCACTAACGTTCATTAAATGCAATACATGACAATAACTAAATATTATTGATTATACATGCATACATAATGAAAAGAGGCTTTCAATTTACTTGATTGATTAATTCATAAAACTACGTAGTTAATAACTGTCTATACTTGAGAAGAAAGTATTTGTATTTGTAATTGAAATACATGTATGCAGTATTTGTAATTGTATTTAAATACAAAGCTGAAAACAGTATTTGTATTTGTATTTGTATTTTTGTTTTTGTACAGTATTTGTATTTGTATTTAAATACTTCCACGTTGTATTTGACCCAAGTCTGATACATGTACATGTATATGTACATGTAAATAAATGGAGGTGTACGCTATAGAGAGTGTCCATTATATAGAGGCTATACTGAAGCAATGATATACACATGCATGTACATTATATCTCTGCTGCAGGTAATGCAGTTGTTGCTAGAAACAGAAGAACCACCTGATCCTGAAATATTAGCACTGGCTATCAATTTAGCATGTCATCCTGATAATGCAGCACTCATATGTCATGGACCAGGACTGGGGCTACTAATGAAGAAAGGACTCTCAACTCAGGACCCATTGCTAATGAAAGTCATACGTAATGTGGCTCAGCACCCTGGAGAAGAACTCAAGACTTTATTTCTGGTAATAAAAGGGCATTTTAATGTATTTTAATGTACATGCATGCATTTATATCATAAATTAACTTCTACATGTAGCCATGTATACATGCATGTTCCTTTCTTCTTCTACTGTAGAACTTGCATGTACTATTTTATTATTTCTTGTAGGAGTTTATTGGTGATTTAGGTAATGTGATTGTCAATTGTCAAGATGAGGATTATCTCGTTGAAGTGATTGGTATATTGGCCAACATACAGTTACCTGATCTGGACTATAACAAGATACTGACTGAATTGAAAATGCTTCCAACTATTGTCAAAAAATTAGAAGTCAGCAAAAAATTTTATACAGATGATTGTAGACTATTTTTAAAATTAGAGTGCAAGTACTAAAGATGATATTTTGTTGGAAATCATAATACTATGTGGCACATTTTCATCAGATCCTAAGTGTGCCGTTTTATTTGTTAACGAAGGCCTTCCACAGTTACTCATAGACATTTTAAAAGGTAATGGGCTTGAACTTTTAGCCTGCAAAGTTGATTTGACCTTTTGCTAATTCTTGATCCCAGTTAAGCAAGATGATGATGAGATTATCCTACAGATTGGTCACACAATGTACCGGTGGGTCCTCAATCCACAGACAAGGGACACCATGATGAAGAGTGGTCAGTCATTTTATGCATAATAATAATAAGTTGTTTTTTTGCAAAAAATACAGAAGCTCCAGATTACTTTATTGAGCTCTTGCATGACAAGAATGAAGACATTCATAATATTGCTTCAGAAATTGTCAATGTCATGACAGTAAGAAATATAATACTATTAATAATTATTATAATAACAGTATAAGCTACACTTTTCATAAGAAATTTATATGCTTAGCAAATTATATTTTTCTATTTTCTATTTTATTTTTTGAAGGAGCATGATCCAGAGTTTGCAGAAAGAGCTAAACTGGTAAAATTCCGTTTCTACAATGCCCAGTGGTTGGAGATGGTAACTGGTAAGAGTCTCTACATTGGAGGAGGAGGAGTAGCTGGGGGACCAAGCCTCAGAGAAGTAGACGATGATGACGAAGACTATAATCCTTTCATGGATCCTTACTACCTGCAAATGGCTGCCGAATTATACTCTCCTGAGCTCTTGTATGAGAATGAAGCTCTGCCCCATCCTCTCTACACATCACCTGCTGGAATGGAGGAGCCATTGGGTGACTATGAGCAGCAAGGAGGTGGACTTTTTGCCTATCATTCCCCCGCGGGGGCGCCGGTTACCACTCGCCCACCGTCCAGATTAAATTTTTAACTTTTTAAAATTTCAAATTTTGTATAATCACGTGAGGTGATAGTTATAAAAGTTATTAAAAGAGAGGGATACGTCACGTGATCCGTCTATAAAATTGACTGAGGCACGTTAAGTTTTCTGTAAAGAACTAAAATATCCTTTTCTTGATGCCCCGAGGCTAATACTGCAGACACCAGCTACTAGCTGACTGCCAGACTGTCTATGAGTGCGTCTAAAGCTTATTCCCCTTAGCTTTTAATACAAGGACTGGGCACAGGTACGTGTATTAAAAAGCATGAATAACATTAACACGTTACTGAAACCTTTGTATTATAATATAATAGCTTGTGTGTGTGTTATTATTTTGTGTATATGTTACTAGGTATACAGGATATACAAGTTTTAATAACCGGTTTTAAAACATGCAGTCAGCATGGACGACCGTTCCAGTGTCCTCCTACTTCACTCCGCCTCATCCTTCTCAACTCGCTTCCCAAATGTCCGGGAACCTTCCAGCGACCAGTCGTCCACGGGTTGGTCTAGGCGTGATATGCATGTGCATTCCCCAGCGATACGCAGGGGTACAGGTACTCCTCCTCAAGAGGGGGCCAAAGTTCGTGTCCCCACTCAAGTGGTCTTTCCCCGGGGGGCGTCTCGATGACGAGGGGGACGGGAGTGATGAAGATGGGGAGAGGGGTACGATGAGGGAGCTGATGAAGGAGTGTGGGGGAGGGTCTCCTAATGGACTACCGCCTCTCATTCATATTGAATGCTACAAGTCTGGAAGGGTACGTGTTGAAATGATCTATTAATAGTAACGATATAATGATTCTATTAATAGTAACAGTAATATTATTAAATGTTAATGAAGAGTGGTTATTGTAATGGCGATAATAGTGAACGATTCTATTAATAGTAACAATGATGATTATGATTCTATTAATAGTAACAGTACTAAAATTGATGATAAGTTTTGGTGATAATAATGAACGATTTTATTAGTAGTAGCAATGATGATAGATAAATTATTGATTCTATTAATAGTAGCAGCTTTGATAATTTATCGATTCTATTAATAGTAACAAAGCTAATGTTTATTTTCTTCATTTCTTCTCCAGACTCTCTATCATGTGTATGTATTAGATGCTGAGGGACAGACCACTTGGTTTCAGTGGCAGCCATCAAAAAACTTTGATCACACGGGGGAGATAGACCTGTCAGCAAGGGAACTCACTCTACAGGGAAAATCCTTTCCGTCCTACAATGGGTTTTGTTGGGTTGACCTCCAGGCACTGATAGAAGAGTGTTTGGCCATTAACATTAATGTAAGAGAAGGAACTACACAACCTGTACATTTACTATACAGTTGTAGTTTATAAATTAATGCACACACACACACACACACACACACACACACACACACACACACACACACACACACACTCACTCACTCTCTCTCCCTCTGTTGATTTAAGGCCTGAGTACCTTAGCAATTTTTATGGTTTCCCCAGCACTAAAAATGTATTTTTATCATTATGATAGAGCCAATTTTCCCTCCCCCTTTTTTATTATTCTCTTTCTTTACCCCCCCCCCCTCTCTCTCTCTCCCTCTCTCCCCCTCTCTCTCCCCCTCTCTCTCCCCCTCTCTCTCCCCTCTCTCTCCCCCTCCCCCTCCCTAGGATCCTGATGCTATATCAAGCAATCAGCTCCAACACGGTCTCATCCGTTGGGTCAGAACAAACGGAGAGAACATACTCAAAACACTACTAGCCCGTAGTCCTAACCTAGCCTACCGGAGACTCCTCTACCCTCTCAGTTCCCCCGTACGAGGAGCAGTGGGCGGAGTTTCATCTGGAAACCGGCTACAACTACCGAGATGGATTGGAGATATGCCCCGCCCACCTTTATTATCGGCGTATTACCCTCCGCCGGCCATGATCCCCACACAGGCCACAGGTACTAATGAATATTCATTAGATATGCTACCACCAGGTGGAGGGGCTAGTAATGATAACGGGGCCCAACCTTCTACTAATGATGAGACTGGTGTTACTAATGCCACTGGTAGCTACGAACAGATGACAGGAAATGCTCTTCTTCCTCCTCCTACTCTTCCTCTCCCTATTATTGATCAAACGCTAGTCCCCACCACTCACACTTACGAAAACGGGAGCACACGTAAACCACACCCTCGCCGCTACGAGATATGCAGGTATTATTTAACTGGCGGGGTCTGCCCTTTTGGTGACAAGTGCTGGTTCTTGCACCCGGACTCTAAGGATTTAACCACTGGATTAGCAACCCCTCCTATGTCACCACTACAACACGTCTGGCACCCAGCTGCACTCATAGATCAGTCTGCTATGGCGTCTACTGGTCCTGTAGCCTCCACTGGTCCAATCTCGCCGACCGCTTGGCGATTCTCCGGACGCTACCTCCCAATGTCTCTTCGCCCTACCTTCCCCCCTCCTCACCCTCCTCCCCATGGTAACACTAGTAACACGGTAGCCGCCGCTAGCCTATTTCGTACCCCTTACCCCGTGTTCCCCAATCGCTTCTTCCCCCCTCCTCCCCCACCTCCTCTTTCTGGCTACCCCCAAGCTCACTTGGTCGGTGGTCAAATCTCTCACAGCATCAGTGACCCCGTATTAAGGTTTAAGCTTCTTTCGGAGCTTTCTCTTGCTGACGATAACATTGAATCAAGTAGACTAGCAGTTAGGGCTGATCACTTTTATCTGAGTCTTGATCAAGGCCTGAGGGACTATCGTATTCTTTTTGGTGGAGGTCGCTCCTACAATGACTCCACTTGTTTGATGGTGGAGCAGAGCTTTACTCATAAAGTCACTTGTTTGCATAGTTCAAAGTCCCAGTCCCTGTTGGTCCTAGTGGGTCTGGAGAATGGAGCGATATATTGCTGGGACCCGCGTAAGAATGGATCTAACAGTACCACCTCTTCTTTGACTATTGTTCATGAACCTAACACGGTATGGGAACTGGTTCTATTTGAATTAAACCTCTCTCTCTCTCCTTTTTTCTTTTTACCCTAACAGGCTGAGAGTCCAGTAACTGCTTTAGTTCACTTCAATACGACCATTGAGGGAGCTCAGGTTGTAGCCTCTGGTCATTCTAATGGAAGCGTCTCCTGGTACATTGCTCAGCCTCCAATGAAGATGTACACTCTATTGTCTTCAATCACCTACCATGCTCCACACAAAGTCACATCATTACAAGTGAGCAATCGATGATGAAACATATGAAAAATGAAATAAGAGCAATAATAAAATGAACAAGTGACTGTAGTGATAATAATAAATTAGTAGTTTCATGTCTACAGTGAACATGTAGATGTTTGTAAGTGTAAAACCAAAAAAAAGCATCAAGTATATTGTACATGTACATGAACTTTTTAGGATATTGTATTATTAAAATATCTATTTTGTCTGCAAGAATATTTTTCCTTGAATTGCTTTGATTTTTGTGGCTTTTGAAATCCCATTCCAGTACTTAAGGTTATCCAACTAAAACAATTATTACTAAAGACCACTATGATGTAATAATAATAACATAAACACAAATAAACTGGACCACATGTCAAATTGTCAGTAATGGATATAACAGCTGCCCTGGATTTTAAAATATTACTAATAACAATAATAGTATTAACTTAATATAATAATAAATTAATGATAATAATATATAATAATAAGATAATGATGATCATTGTACATTTGTTTAGATATTTGGTGGTTGTTTGTTGTCTGGTAGCATCAATGGAACTGTTTGTCTGTGGAATATGAGAAGCCAAGAGCCAGCACTATCCGATACCTTTCAAGTAAATAAATTCTACATTCATTAATACATTGTACATTCACTGTACATGCACTCGGATTAATAGCATTCATGTATTGTACAAATGTGTACTGACATATTAAGTTGCAGCTGTCATTTTGTAACTGCCTTAATCTTTAAAGAAGAATCAGTGTACAGATTATTTAGTCAAGTTTTCTTATTATTTTTATTTATCTACTCTTGATTACACGTACATGTACATGTACAACTTACATGTATACAGAAGTCTCCTTTTGAGGAACCACGTCATATGTTTAAGACCCTGCACTTTTATGTATTTATTTACATTTATTTGTTGGTAGGCTCACACTAAAGAATTGTTAGATATCTACGTTCTGCTTGATGCCTCCTCTTTCCTAACTGTCGGTCTCAACTCTGCCGTTACTGACCCCACCATGGGGGATCTAGCCGAAGCCACGCCTGCAACGACCGCACCTCCTACCTCTGCTGAAAGCCTCGTGGCCAATCTCGCCAAGGTCTCGCTTAGTTCAAGTCCTAGCCACTACAGCGCCTCAATATGGGAGTATGATAAATCAGTCACTAATTCTAAAACTGTTGATAACCTAGGCGAGATCTTAGTCTCCGCCTTTCACCAACAGCCGCTCTTCGGCAACCAGTTCTTGGCTGTTGGCTATAAAGAAGGTGCTATTAAAATATTCAACGTTCCCAACTTCACCGTCGCGTCTGAGATTCATTTCCCTGATATCTCCCCCACGGGGTATTGCTGTCATGTTGCTATCAATCTTTCACGGGACAAGGAAAACACTCATCATTTCAATATGAGGAATCCTTTTAGAGACCTCATTCTCTCGACCGTTTGGTCCGATGGGCGTATCATGATATGTCAGATTGAGCCGAACTATCGAAGTAATAATAACAATAATAATAATAATTTCAGTTAATTCTGCTGGAAGAGGAAGAGGAGAAAAAAGAGAGAGAATAATTATTATTATAATTATTATTAATATTAATAATGCTTATTTTTGAACTTTGGAAATAAATTTTAACTTTAAAAGCCAAGAAAAATCTCCAGAAAAAAATAATTAATACAGACAATGGTGTGTGGGTGTGGCACTTAGTTTAATTATTTGATGAATATTTAATGAGCTGAACTTCCAGTTACTTACCAGTAGCTGCTGTTGATCATAATGTCTTCAGTAAAGGTAGCTGTCCGTGTGAGGCCTTTCAACAAGAGAGAGATCAGCCATTCGGCCTCATGTGTCATCTCAATGAGCGGCCAACAGACCGGTAAGCCAAGAGTAGCCCATTACTCGCAATTTTCATGTTTTTCTACAACTTTGTGTGTAAAACGACGCGTTTCCCTCACAGCTATAGAAAATCCGAAAATGCTAGGAGAGCCCCCAAAGTCTTTCGTTTTTGACTACTCGTACTGGAGCCACACAGATGTAAGGAAATCTCTCATTATTACCATTATAATAATAAGTGTTATTTTCATTATAATATAACATCTACTGCTGCATCTACACAGTACATAGCTTTGCTTGTTATTGTAAGCCTTTCTCTTTATACTTTCATTTCCACTTTAAAACTAATAACTGGGTATCCACCTCTGCCTATCATTATAACTAGATTAATCCCACGCTGCATCAGTACATGACGCTAATTATAGGAAATGTACTGTAAAGCTTTCCTTCTTAGCCGAAAGAGTTAGGGCACTTTACAGTGATTCCGACTTTAAACAGAAGACATATTAGCGGCGTCTGCTAGCAATGCTTTATTGTTTGTTTACTAGAAATCCGATCCGAACTTTGCATCTCAAGATCAGGTCTATGGTGACATTGGTAAAGAAATGCTCCATCATGCCTTTGAAGGGTAAGTCCACTTATCTATCAAGTAGATCTTACATTGTACTGATTTGTTTTAGATTCCTATTACACTATATCTTTAAAGTATTGCACATACAGGTTTCTGTATAAGAGAGGCTTATTCCCATTATCTGTACATGTACAATCAAGAGTAGATA